TGCGCTTCCTCCCGAGGTACTTACAGGATGTAGATCCTCACAGGATTTTCAACGACGGCTGGACTTGTTTTTTGCCTAACATTGTGTATTGTTCACCTGTTCACCTCCCACCCCTGCTACAGCCCGCAAGGGCTAGCAGTATTGTAAATAAATAAATAAATATAAATAAATAAATAATAAATAGGATGGGATTTCCTTTCTACCCATCAAGCCCTCGTCGACTGTGCTCGTGCTGAACTCACATTGACTCCGTGCCTTGATATCGACCACCACAGTCCCTCGAAAGTGTATGCCGCAACTGATGTTCGCATCCCTCCTTTGTCCGCCGTCCTAGTGCCTGTGTTTTCCCCTGCTGCCGCTAACTCGACGCTCCTGTTTCAACTATCTATAGCTAGTGCGCACCACCGAACCATCGTCTTCCTGTTTGCCGTCATCAACTTTTCCTATGGTTCAGCGGTACTTTATGCGTGCAACGTCTCTGCTTGTCCATACATCCTGCTACGTGAAGAGTGTCTGGGGAGCCTCGAGACCTTTGATTGTATTTTCGAAGACCCGATGTATCGTAACAAGCCATTTCTACCGACTTGTGCCATTACACCCGTAACTGACGCCAATGACCCTATCGATGTATTCCGCAAGTCCATTGATTGCCACCTCACGCCTGGGCAGCACGAACAGCTGATCAAGCTCCTCCAGCATTTTCGAGCCTCGTTTGACCACAATCAGCCTTCCTTAGGTCGACCATCATCTGTTGTTCACAGTTTAGATACCGTCAAGAGACACCATTACGACAGCGTCCGTTATTCAGATTCATTACAATTACTCATCTGTCTCATCTGTGATGCCACAGCCGTCACCATCGCCGACATGCCATCTGAGCAACGCAAGGACCCTTAGGTTGCTTCGATTCTAGACATCCTGGCTGGGCGGACGGCTTCTCCCCCTACTCGCACGTTGCGTCGGCAAGTCCAGCACTTCACCACTCGCGACGACGTGCTGTACCAACGCAACTACGCACCCGGTGGACGTCAGCGGCTACTCGTGATTCCACGTCATCTGCGATCCGAAATTCGATCCACATTTCATGACGACCCCCAATGTGGCCACACAGGTTTCCTGAAGACTTATTCTCGCATACAGCTCCGATATTACTGGCGCGGCATGTACCGTTTTATCCGACAGTACGTTCGGGCTTGCTCGACGTGCCAGAGATGAAAGACTCCCCCTCATCACGCCAGTGGTACCTTATTACCCCTACCATGCCCATCCCGACCATTAGACCGTGTCGGCATCGATATCTATGTTCCCCTTCCAAACACTCCATCCGGTAACTGCTGGATCATAGTTGCGGTCGACCACCTCACGCGGTATGCCGAAACTTCATCCCTTCCCTCGTCTACAGTGAAAAACGTTGCGACTTTCGTTCTTCACAACATCGTATTACGTCATGGAGCACCTCAAGAGTTACTGAGTGATCGTGGTCGCGTATTCTTGTCAGACGTCATCACAGCATTGCTGCGTGAGTGCCACATCGTTCATCGCACTGTAAGCGCCTATCATCCCGAGACCAATGAAATAACAGAGCGCTTCAACCGCACCCTTGGCGACATGATGTCTATGTACTTCTCGTCAGACCACTCCAATTGAGACTGAGTGCTCCCGTTTATCACGTTCGCCTATAATACCGCCATTCAAAGCACTACTGGGTTCTCTCCTTTTTTCCTCCTTTACAGACGCGAACCTTCTTGCACTATGGACATCTTTCTACATTTTCTTTCATACAGACCCGACTCCTCAGAGTCCACGACTCTGTCTCAAGCCACTACATACGCTGAAGAGTGCCGCCAACTGGCAAGATCATTCACAACCCAAGATCAAGGACGCCAAAAGCACCACCATGACGCATCAGTTAACACTACTTCCTAGGATCCAGGTGAACTCGTCTGGCTGCATTTCCCTTCTGCTACACCTGGCCTCTCTGCCAAGTTGGTCCCCAAGTATCACAGTCTATATCGTGTACTACAGAAAACGTCACCGGTGAATTACCTCATTGAGCCACTGGAACCATCTTCTGACCAACGTCGTCGTGGCCACGAAATTGTCCACGTGTCGAGACTTAAGCCCTGCTACAACCCTCCTGTGTTTACTTGTCCGTAAGTCGCCAGGATGGCTCTTTATTTCGCGGGGAGTAATTATAATGAATCTGAATAATGGACGCTGTGCTGCTACTGAAGAAGACGATGATGATCGGCGGCAGTAGGAGTAGCTCGCGCACGCTGCTCGCCGGTAGCCATTCCTGCCTATTAAAGCACCTTTCGCCAAGCTGCGTCGGAAGCTTCCTCGACGTACAACACCTCTATTTTAAAACCTTCATTCTATCTCTCTTATGAACGCATCCACTCACTGGCGAGCATTGGCTATGTGGACGATAGCGAGGTGCCAGCTACCCTAAAGAAAACTCGCCATGCCTGCTAACAATCTCGAGCCCTTTACACTGCCAGCACCAGCCATACAGCACCGCTATAGCCATATATGATAAACCAAGACTGGTCAACCACACATGTTAACCCTTGCCGCCGAGAAATACGGAAGTATTGGTCACAAGATCGAGCAGTCACCGCTTGGCGGCTAATGGCCGAAGAGCGAAGTGTGGATTGCTCTGTGCGTCGTCAGCTAGCCACGTTGTGTTTGTATGTGCTTATACGTCATGCACGTTCTCAAAGTGTGGTTTGTCCAGTCAGTCAGCGCGAGTAACTGCTTCTGGGTATGCCTGAAATGATGCAGGAAAGCATTTGGTCTTGCTCGGCTGCTAATGCATTGTAATAAGATCGGCGAGTGCAACTTTCCAGAGTGCTATTTATTGTTGTCATAACCTCCATCTAACAGCATAATTTCAGTGTGGGTGCCACTGCCTGTTCCAAGCACATGGCAAAATGCTCCCGTTGAACTGAGTGCATCTCGGAATGAGAAAAGCAACACCTAGCATGAAACGTTACATGTAATCACTGGTACCCTCCAAGAGAGTAAAAAGATATGGCTGCAAAATCGAAAGGACGGCGATGCGCACTCTCCTCATCAGATGGTGCGGCGATGCAGTTTTATCCGATTGTGGTCGCCGCTCACACGTCCAGATTTATTTTGTCAATGGGTGTAAACTACAGAGTGGGCGATCTGGTGCTGCCACACCATCATGGGCTGGTTGGTGCATGATCAACAAAGGCAAAAAAGGCGCGAAACATGGGACAGCGCCTCGTCCGTCTCTTTCACTGTCCCGTGTTTCGTGCTGTTTTTCGCTTTGTCGCCCATCATGTTGCCAGCGATACTAGCAAACTGTTCCAGCCTCGCTGGCAACAAATAGTCTAGGCCATAGTGTGCAAAAGCAGGTGTCCTCGCTTTTTTATTGGGGCGCGTATGTAACTTGAAACGCTACGTGTCACATAAGGAGCGTGAGGACAACGGCCAGTTTTTCTCCAGGCTGTAGGTGTTAGGTGAGAATGCTCAAAACTGAGAGAAGAGCCCAGAGCCGCGTCACGTGCTGCTTATCAGGAGCAGACAACTCTGCATGACAGGCCATGTTTGATATGTTCTGGGCAAGGTGCAAGGAACAACTCGATTTGCAAGTGTTAACCTTTTCTATGTTGACTTTAATCGAGCAGATGGATAACCAAAGGGAAGGAAGTACAGCCAAGAGAGCTCCCGCTGAAGCCTTTATTGTCGTCGCAGACTAACCCAACTAAGCACCACCACGGATGGCACATCCTCCCACCACCACATCTCTCTCACCACAGGACCTGAGCACAAGAGAAGCCCAGAGACCAGCCCAGTTGGGAGAGCCAACCATGCCGAAGCCACAAGGACGTGGCAGCCTGGACACCACGCATGGCGCTGCATGCCGAAAAGGGCACCTGCCAGACCGGAGGACTGAGAGGGCAGCCCAGACGATGCTGGAAAGCGCAGCCCAAAATGAAACACTCTGCCAGCTGGCTCCTCAAAGCCACCACAAACAACCTGGGACCATGCAGCTGCCAGCACATGATCCACGACAGCAGCCACAGTGGTGAACGTAATGACTGGGGACCGCAGCGATGGGTACATTGAAGGCAGCAGTGATACCAGCGAGAGCACTAGAGGCAGGGGGTCAAATGGAAAGATGTAAAAATTTTCCACCCAGTGCAATTCTGCATGGTTATCTGCTTTTACAACTATTTTTACTTTCTAGTTTTTTATGCTCGTGCTAATAAAATTTTGTGAGAGAAATAAAGACTAGTTTAAGTGTCAGTTGCTCTTGTGGCGCCCAAGGAACAACTTTCACGATAGCATTAGTTAGATGCACCTGCCTCGGCAAAGCAAGCCTTCGTGGACAGAAATCACACTCAAACCGGTTAGTGATTGTAACAGGCACAAAAATGCTGCAACAAAAAAAATATTCCAAAAAATGATCAAGCTGAACTATGCTAAACGCACTTCAGCTTTAGTGGCACGCAGCTGGTTGACTATAGCGCCACTTCCCAGCATGAGTGCCCCGATCCGCGTCATTCGGTAAGCGTGCTCGCTCTCCTCGGAGGACGAGAGACTAGCCAATACTCTAGGGACACTTGCCCCAGTTAGCGTGCTGTGCCAGTCTTGCACGACTGAATAGCGTAGAACAACCATTAAAAGACAGAATGTTAGGTTTTTCTGAATCCCACATGTTTATGCCTTTGCCTCTAATGCGACACATAGTGCACTAAGTGGCATTAGAGACAAAAGCAAAAACATGCATGATTTTCAACATTTTAATCATGAGAAAAACGATTCCGATCATCCTAGCTTCATTCGTTTCAGTATCTCCATGGGTAAGGTTTTGTAATCTCAACATTTCACATACACTTGGCAAGGTTGTTGCCTATGTGAACACGCAGTATCGGCACTTTGATGTGTGTGGCACTGCAGGCAGATGAAAAACTGCGCACCACACCCCAGCTGGTGGAACTTTCCCCAAGTGAGGGACAAAAACATACGAGTCTGTCTGAGGACGCCTAAAGTTGTCCGGTAGGTTAGCTTCATACACTGCTCTTCCCTTGCTGTTGCCCATTTGCTGAAGGCACTGCACAAAAGGAAAGAAAGGACCAAATAAGAGGCTTCAGTGCTAAAACATTACAAGCATGGCATTTGAAAATACTTGTGTTAATCACAATATTAATGAGAACTAGCAAACAATGACACCAAGGAAAGTATAGTGGTAATTGTAATTTAAACGTGAAGAAAGAAAGGTGTACTTGCCGCTGGCAGGTACCAAGCCTGCAACCTTCAAATAATGCGTTCAATGCTCTACCAATCAAGCTACGGTGGCGGCAAGTGCCCCGCCTGCTTTATGGTGTCTATGTGCGCATTTAAATCTCAGTGTGTTAGTGAGCAGCACTATACTCAGAAATAACTATAATTAGAAATAACTTTCCTAGACAGTACTGTGAAAGCTACATAACTGATACACATGCCTGCTACAGCACCAAAAAATAGTGCTGATAGTTAATAGATAACATTCTCATTGGCCTCCTGAAATAAATGCTTCCTTATTTATTATGAAACTAGAAACAGTTGTGAAAAGTCGTAGGTAAAATACAGTTATTCTTCACTTTGCAAGAGTGCCTCCCTTTTTCTATTTTTTATTCTTCAAATTGAACCCATTTTACAATGTAAGTAACCATGGCGTCCATGACTCAGTGGGTCAGTGTGCACCTGCAAACGCACTGTTCAGTTCTCCAAAAAAAATATATACGTGTACATGATGCTAGAATGTTCACTGAACAATCGGAACTTCTCTCCCATTAATTCATATTTTTCTAAATGCATAAACGAAGCCAAACTCAGCTGCAAGCTGCCGTACCACTAGCAGAGAAACATGAATGTGTTGAAGCCTTTGCTCCAATGTCAAGATAGTTGTCAAGTATAGCAGCCACGACAGTGAGTGCCAAAGTCTTCAAGTCTGCCAGAACAAGACTCTCACTACGTATGAATGAAAGAAGTGAAAATTTAAGGCCTCGTTCTTCTTTGTGCTACACAATTATTATTGTGTCGAAGCTACACAATAAATATTCAGCACATTATTCCTTGAGCACTTCGGTACTGAAGTCTCCATTTACAAGATAATGCGAGCACACCTCTGAAGCTGGGCAAGACTGGTCACAGCAGACTAAGTTGTAGCACGGAAGGTGGTTATGCCTGAACAATGTTGGTCAAATTCCCACCAAGCTGTACCACTTTTAATCAGCATCTTGAGCGGTTGGACGAAGTTTTGTCGAGCATTTCCAAAGCTGGACATCGGCTAAACATGAAGAAATGTCACTTCACGAACACGAACATCAAGGTATGGCTGCCAAACAGAACCCATAACAGAGCAAGAATGTCTTGCTGTCGTTTGGGCGACTAAATTAAAAATTTTTGGTCATAACATTACGGATGCCCCTTCACAACAATAACAGATCATCACGCCTTCTGCTGGAAATCTTCACTGAAGAACTTGTCTGGTCGTCTGGTCACTGAATACTCCATCTGCAAGAATGCAATTTCGACGTTGCTTACAAGTCCTGCAAGAAACAAGATACAAATGCTCTATCTCGCTGCCCCCTGCCACTATTACTGTCGAAGCCATTTCCCATTTGGTCAATGTTCGTCCCGTGATCTCGACACTGTGTCGACTCCTGCATTATCACAACTAGCGGTTGCCGCATGCTGGCTTTGAATAACTATGTTCAGTTCGCCTCGCCCCAGCATTATGATCCGTACTGCAACCGCATTATCGAATGCTTAAGTGGCAGGTCGCCTCCTCCTAATGCCAGTTCACGTCAATTTACGGCAATTTAAGATAGAGAACAATATGCTACAACGCTATGTTTACACCACTGATGGACATCACTGGGTTCCTGTTCTTCCATGTCAAGAAGCCGTTGATGACGACCCACTTAGGATATCACAAAACACACAGCCGCGTCAGGCAACGTTTCTATTGGCCTGGCCTCTCTACCTTTGTGGTCCAGTATGTTGCGTCTTGCCCTTTGTGTTGACGACGGAAGCGACCAACTTCAAGTCCAGCTGGTCTATTGCAGCCAATGCAGTGTCCCGAGACACCTTTTGCCATCATTGCGATAGTTTTAGTCAAACCTTTCCCAATCATGCCAAGAGGTGATCGATAGATAGTGACAGCAGTCGATTACCTGACAAGGTACGTAGAGACTGCTCCTCTGTGTACGAGTTCTGCTACAGATGTCGCCGATTTGCTTCTGAATGCTATAGATTTTCTTCTCAATGCCCCTTTTTTGGCCCACGGATCGGGTTTTCTCTCCCTCAGCGAGGGAACTTATTCTCGTCAGGGAAGGGGGTCACCCTGGCACCTCTTGCGTAAAGCCCCAATGATGAGGGCAATGAGGCAGGTTGGAAGTGGCATTGCTTGGTTGAGTAGGGCCGCGATGCTGACATGGATGGTGTTGGGGGTTATCCGGCGAGAAGAGCGGTTCCCTCTCCGAGCTATTCCGGCTGCACCTCTTTCCCTTTCGACTCTCCATCTGCTCAGTGAAAGTCGACACAGAAAACAAAGAACAGGTTAACAATCGCACATGTGTTGCGCACGAACCCTTGCACCTCGCGTCGAACATATCAAACGTGGCCTGCCGTGAAGAGTTGTCTCCACCTGTTACGCTGAAAGTAACGCGGTTCTGGGCTCCTCACTCAGTGTCAAGTGTGCTCCCTCCCCCCGCCTGCAGGGGCACTGGCTGTAGTCCTAGTGCTCCTCCCGTGACACGTAGCATTTCAAGTCACATATGTGCACCAGTCCGCCGCTCGGTTTGCCTTTTATGTTCGTGAGCAGATAAACGAGCGAGGAAACTTTCTCTCGCACAATCGGTATGGCCCGGACCATTTTGGTGCCAACGAGGCAGCAAACTGTTTGCTAGCATCGCTGAGAACATGATGGCGCCACAGCACCAGATCGCCCACTTGGTTGTGTACGTTTCGATGCATACGGTCGTGCTGCGCCTTCTGCTGTGCCCAAGAGTGCTGAGATTATGCCAAGCTTTATGTAAAGCTTTTGCTAGTTTCTCGTGCAGCTGCGTTGCGTATTCAGCACGTGCTGATGTCGCCACTGACACTCCACTGCGATCCACAAGCACGGTCTCCATCGGATTCGGCCGTTCTCTCCCCAAGTTCAGAGAAGGCGCATACCCAGTGGATCAATTCACAGTTGACCGCAATGCAAAACCGATCCCTGGAAGGTAGGTATCCCAGTCCCTATGTCTTTCAGAGAATATAAGAAGCATGTGCTTGACGTTGCGATTGGCTCGCTTCGTGAGGTTCGACTGAGCATGGTAGGTGGTCGTTTTCTTGTGCTTAATGCCTTCGCAGCAAACACAACAAACACCTTCGCAGTGAAATAAGACGCGTTGTCTGTAGTCAAATGCTCAGAGAACCAGGACCTGGTGAAAACCTCCTTCAACCTAAACTCACTCGAGCCATCAGCTTCCTAAAGGGGGAAAGTTCCGCCCAATTACCCAAGTGATCCGTGATCACCAGCAAGAACTTGTTTCTGCTAGGAGTTGTGGGATACGGGCCGATTACGTCACATGCCGCGATTTGCCAGGAAGACCGACTTTTAATTGGTTGCATGAGGCCGGGCGAACGTCCGCCTCGTTGCTTGATGCTTTGGCACACGTGACATGAACGGGCATAGCGAATTACATCCCACTTCATGCCTGCCCAGGTAGCGAGGCGACAACTTAGCATAAGTCTTAGGGCAGCTCGCATTGCCAGTAATGCACGAATCATGAAAGTAGCGAAGAAGTGCTCGTCTCAATTTGCGTGGTCTCACGACATTGGATGACTCGCTTGTGTCATCGTCGTATAAAATGTACCTAGCAGGACACTGTCAAAATCCAGCAGATATGAATCCACCGCGCTCACATCACTACCAGCTGTCCTCATGTGTGCAGTGGCTTCACTACCACCCTGCTCCCGGAGCCCATGGAACACCTTTCGACAAAATGAGCATTCCTGCTGAGCCAACAGTTCCCTTTTGCTGAAAACAATCCCTGCACTATTGATAGCCTCTACGTGGTTCACACTTTTGCCTTGAACTAACGTTTGCTTCGCTGTTTCAATTAGGGCGACTGTCTCGCTCTCAGTCCGTTCCGGGTAGTCACGTGACTTGCCTCGTTTTGGACTGGAGCACACAATAGCGAGTCGGCTGCAGCATTGTTCTTACCCTTGCGGTAGCGAACAGTGAAGTCGTAACACTGCAGCAGCAACGCGCAAAGCGCCAGGTGGCTTGGTTCGTTCAAGTGCCTCAACCTTGTGAGCGCCATGTGGTCAGTCTCAATCCCAAACGCAACTCTGTCGATGTAAAAGACAAACTTACCGAGAGTGAAAACTATCGCGAGACACACTTTCTCGGTTACTGAGTAGTTCCTCTCCACCCGCATCAACGAACGGCTCGCGAACACACCACCACCTACCGCTCAATAGTTGTGACCCCGAAATACAGTTCCTGCTCAAGAAAGGTGCACCACGCGGAACAAAAAACTTTACAGGGGGCGCCAGCACCCCCGCATCTCCTTAACCTTAATTCAAACCATATCCCAAAAAGAAAAACATGAAAGAAAGCAGCTACACAAGCTCTAACAAAAAACGACAACACATGTCTCTACGTAATGTCCGTGCACAACAACACTGCGGCCGGTCAACACTGCTACGCTGTCTGGCTCGATGACTTCACCTCAGTACCAGTCCCCCAGGTTGCCGTTGGCGCGACGAACCGTCACTCGCGCCGACACATCTTCCAGTTGCGACAAGCACTCACGAAGGCGCCGGACTGCAGGCAGTTGCGCAGGTCGCAGGCATGTCCATAACCCGACCTCACGACCGCATTTCTGGCCAGCAGTGCTGACGATATGCAGAAGACAGCTAGCCACGGGTTACATCACTTATGCTGCGTACATTCCAAAACACTCAGCGGAACAATGGAGTAGGGCCAAGAAAAGGGAGTTTCAGGCTTCTCACCCACGTGGTACGATGGTCAGTGCTGCTAGCTAATACATAGACGGTGACCTAGACGCTCAG